TAACCCTGCGACGCAGTAACATTTCATCCTCCCTTTTGATTACCCAAATTTCTTTCATGTTTGCACATTTGCCGAAAATTGTGCACATGTTCACATTTTTTTTGAATATCTAAGTACGTAAGTGTATTTAGCCATTGCAAGCATATGTACTGATAGTATAAGCCCTGTAAGAAAAAATTGGTAATCAGCTGAATAATCACCTTTAGCGAAGCATATGTACTGATATAGTATAAACCCTGTAGGAAATAATTGATAATCAGCTGAATAATCACCTTTAGCGAATTTTTAGGTAATAAAAGTATCATTGAATGTGATGTTATGCCGAGCCTAACATAATTACTCATCAATATGTAGAACTCCAATTGAATATTCTTCTCAAGTAGTTTAGATACAGAAGGCAGACATTATAAAAAGCTACATATGAACCACTAGCGAACTCGAATAGCACTCAAGTTAGTAGTGCTGAGCTCTCGTATAAGAGTAAACAATTAAACAGTTATGGCACTAAGAAACCTGCTGTCCTAAAAGTTTTTTCTAGGACTTCTGTCTTAAAAACTTAAGGAAATGTAGCCTTTGCGATGCTCTCGTTCCAAGTGAATATTATTCAAACTTGAATTACCGCAGCAATAAGGCATTAACCTCAGTTTTCTATTACGTTGAGAGTGTCTCGTCAATATTTGAGTTTGATCTCTATTAGTGCCGATCACAGAATCATTATTATTCAGATGGATGATTGAGATTAGCTATCAAGTCTACAATGTCGAAGATTTTTATATTACTGTGACAAAAAATTGGACAAAGGAGCTATCTGTTATTGAAATCTATAAGCCTTTTTACAGAAAATACTACTATAAATCCAAAAAAATATATCATTCGTCACCACTGCTGCACACACTAACTAATTATTCGATGAACAGACATTAATCTATATTAAATGAGAATACAATTAAGAAGATTCGCTTAAGCCCTGCACCTGAGATCTAACCAATTGTAAAGTTTTTAGAGAATAAATAAGCAATTAATTATCATATCAGCTATAATTTATAACGGAGAACAGCAATAAGCGCCCCTTTTTTTCTAATCCTTCAAAGACGTATAATCGTAAAATTTATATTTGGAACCAATCTCTGTAAGCTATGCTAACTACAAATCATTGCTTATTTTTTCAAGTTCCCACCATCTTAATATAATATATTCCTACAGTGCAACCTTCCAATTCCGCAAGCCAAAGTGCCCAAACCATTATTAACTTATGGAAAGCGCAAAAGCTGACATAAATACATACTTCAACCATATAAATTTTCCCAACTATTATGGTTATAACTTCATAAAAAGGGTTGAATTTATTACATGCAGTTTGATGGTCGTAATGATGCAGCCACTTAATAAAATTGTTTTATTTTAGAAAAGATAATCTGTAGCACTTGATGTTGGTGTAGTTTCATTATCGTAAAATCAAAGAGAAATAAATAGGCAAAAGAAGTTGTTTTGGCAGCATCAATACATTTAAAAACAAGAAAAAACGTTAACTTCGGGTACGCCGAAGCTATAATACCCTTTACAAATACAAAGGCCCCTTACAAGAACTTGATTCCGAACGTTCAATTTGTATGGCAGCTATATGATATAGTGATCTGATCTGACCAATTGCTGTGGAGAATAAGCATTGCTTTAAGCAATAACTCGTGCCTAATTTCATGAAGATACCTCGACAAATAAAAAAATTTTCCATGCAAGCACTTTACTCCGATCGTTCAGTTAATATGGCAGCTATATGCTATAGTCATCCGATCTATACATTAGATTAATGCCTGAAATAATAATACACGCCAAATTTCATGAAGATACCTCGTCAAATGAAAGAGTTTTCCATACAAACACTTGATTCCGATTATTCAGTTTGTATGGCAGCTATACTCTATAGTGGTCCGATATCGGCCGTTCCGACAAATGAGCAGCTTCTTTGTAATAAAAGGGCAGGTGCAAAACTTCAGATCGATAGCATAAAAACTGAGGGACTAGTTTATATATATACAGACAGACGGACATGGCTAAATCAACTCAGCTCATCATGCTGATCATTTATGTATATATTTTATAGGGTCTCCGACGTTTCCTTCCGGGTGTTACAAACTTCGTGGTAAACTTAAGATACCCTGTTCAGGGTATAAAAAGTTCTTTGTAATCTGACTCTGTATAGGGTATATTAAGTGCCACGAAGTTTATAACACCGAGAATGAAACTTTGGACACCCTATAAAATATAGTATATATATAAGTATGTATAAATGATCAGCGTGATAAGCTGAGTCGATTTAGCTATATTCGTCCGTCTGTCCGTCCGTTCGTCTGTATATACGCGAACTATTCCCCCAATTTTCGAGATACACAGTCAAGTCTTTTTCTCCCCCAAGAAGCTGCTCGGAACGGCCGTCATCGGACCATTATAGCTTATAACTGTCATACAAACTGAAAAGTCCCCGTATGGAGATTTTTTTTACTAGATGTTTTCACGAAATTTAGTATGGATTATTATCCAAAACAACGCTACAATCTCCGAGAAAATTATTCTGATCGGACTATTATTGCATATAGCTGTCATACAAACTGAACGATCAAAATTATGCCCTTGTATGAAAAACTTTTTCATTTGACTAGGTATCTATATAAAATTTGTCACGGATTATTACCAAAAATAATGGTGCAATTACCAAAGAAATTGTTCAGATCGGACCACTATTGCATATATGGAGCTGCCATACAAACTCAAGTTCTTGTATGAAATCTTTTGTATATTATATTTAAAGGGTATTAAAGCTTCGATGCTGTCGAAGTAAAAGGTTTTTCTCTTTTTACTTGCGTTACGGCGGCTTAACCAAAATTCTAAGAATAATTTAATATACATAGTTCAAAATAGTTACAGTATAACTTAAATTTTACTAAATTATGTTTGGTTTAGCAATTTAATATTGTATTTGTCATATAGTGACGATCTGCACGTTTACTATTATACCTATCTTTTTCATTTCAAACGGCTGAGAGAACAGAAAAAGGGATCCCAACGCAACATCGTCGAAAAATAATGTATAAAATGTTTTGATCTTAAACGACCCTATTTTCTGAATTTCTAATATTTTTCCAAATTTGCACCTACGCTTAAACAGGCTATGAGCGTACGGAAGTAACTGAATACTTCACACTAAAAACAACCTTTACGATTTCTAAACATTTGTATATATGTCAATTTGCAAGGCATACGCACGAAGAGAATATTGCAGGCAAAATCCTTATTCGCAACTTTGCCCCACAACAGCTTAAATCGCATTAAAGTTTCACTTTCTATGCGCCCAAGAAGCGAGGAAATTTGTGCGTGTTCGTGTGCGATCAGCGATTTACGCGCCATTTGCGAGCTTTCGCACAAATTAATGTGTGCGGTGACTACACACCTCGCGAGTGTTTCGGTTTCGCTTAGGTTGGCGGGTGAGTACGAGTATGCATTTCAATGTTCGTTATCATACAACGTAGAGTTGGTACCACGAATGCTTCAACGTTATTTTCTATTAATAATCCGGTGTAGCACTTCAGCGAACGCACCAGTGAACGCAGGTCCATGCTTGAGAGCTTTAGGTGTGCTTGTGGGCTTCAGCAATGCCACTCGTTGTTGGGTCCTACAATGGCGGTGTGATTGTACAAAATTCGTTGCCGGTGTTGGTGGCAATGTTTATCATCAACTGATAGGTTCCATGTTCTGTGGTTTTTTTCTTCTTCTTCTTCATATTCGAGCTTTCACCATTTCTCTGGTTATTATCTGTGTTGTTGTTGCTGCTGCTAGTATTTCCATTTCATTCGTTTCATTTAACTACACTACACACGCACTACACTGCGGCTTGTTGATCTCATGGTCTTGCAACTCGAAATGTTAGCTTTCTTTTCTGATTTTGTTGTTGTTTCAGTGTACAGTACCTTACTAGATGTAAAAAGAAATTTAATCAACATTGCCACCCTCTACGAGTACAAGTTCTAATTTTCGTTTTCCCATCATACATTTTTCCGTTTGGTTTTTTTTTCTTTTTTTGGTATTATATTCGAGCTAAGAGAGGTGACCCCCCTCTTGTTATAACGGCAACGTTTCTACGCATTTACTATGTTGTGTGGCTCGAAAGAACGCTAGAACGAACGAACCCTAAGTGAATGAAAGAAAACACACACAGATACACATACGGAGTCGAGTCATCACCCACTTTGAGGTTATGCCAGGGTATGGTGGTTGAAGAAAGCAAAAGAAGAAAAAAGAAAATAAATCGAGACAAGCACAAAATGAAATGAGAAATAACAAGAAAAGGAGAAAAGCAAACAAGCTGATGCTTACGTTGAGTCTTAAGTAGAGAGCTAAATCATGGTACAGCAAGCGAGGTCGACAGCATCACTATCCGGCATCAACAGTCTGCCAGTCAGTCTGCATCAGGCAGCACCAGCAACAGCTGAAGCAGCAGTTTCAACGGCAGCACTAATCAACAGCATTCGCAATATACTTTTATATATTGGTATATGTGTACCGACCGACATACCAAGTCACTGCTTTTCAGGCGTGCCAATGGGTGGTTGGTTGGTTTGTTGTTTAGAGAGTTGTTCAGTGTAGGGCGAGGAATAACGAGCAGCAAGTTGGTAGCGTAGGAACCTTTTCCGACTTAGATTATGTACGCGGTGTATTCCAAAGAAAACGCTTCACAAAAATTTCGACTAACAAATATGTGGACATACAAAGGTATAATTAGAGTTTACACCTGCCCTAGATGTTAAACCGAACTTCTACTCTTATTTGAGCCTCATACACTTATTTGAAGAATAAGAAGACCTTAGAAGCTTAAAACTCGCTCCAACCGAGTGCTAGTATTTATGAGTAGAGAATTTTTCGAGAAAAATTATTAATCAAAAAAAAAAAGTTATTAAATTCTGCATTTGGTCCAAATTAGTGTACCTCTAAGGAAAAGGAAGGCGTAATTCTTGTTAATGTCCAGCTTTCAAAGCTTTTATTAGAACTCATCGTATGGTATAAGAGTATATAGAGTAGGAGACGGTGCTATACACATTATAATAAAATAATATTGTATAACTTTTTCAGATACATGATTCGGGGTGTCACATATCTTATCAGCCTACTTCTATTCAAGAGAGATCACTTCATTTTTTTAAATTACCACGAGACATTCTTACTTTTACTTGGCTTTTTTCTTCCATAGACGATCGGATGAACAGAACGTTAAGTCTTTATCAAAATATTTTAACCTAAACAAAGAATTTTGATATCGAATATTTTCATTAAAAATCGAATAAGAAATCCTTCTCGACCTGAAAAAGAAACCTCCCTGTTGTCATTTTTAAAGCTTCATTTAACAAGCTTTCAGTTGTAATGAAACTCCTCCATATATTAGATGCTATTGTGCAAATTCTTCCATATCTGCAAAGACTAACGATCTGAAAAATATTAAGAAAAGTGTTGAACTGATTTTGTTTGTGGTTTTGATTAGAATACAGCTGGACATACTTCAGTCTATTCATTCCTCTCGATTCTATACAATTTTCCCGAGGAACTTGCATATGGAATGCAACCCATTTGTATAACCAACCGTCCTTACTATACCATTCATTGTTTTGTTCGTCCTTAGTGCCACAAATACCAACGAGAATGTTTCCCTCTGCCATACTTATTCTCCTAACTTGGCATTACGATTATTCCTCGCCGTATACGTTACACTCCCTGTTCATTCGCTTTTATTCAACACAGTTCGTTTTTATTCATGTCGTAATTTCCAACATTTTGCTAACGCCACACTCCTGTTACTGCTACACCTTCTTAAGTTTAATGCATTCTCTTATTTCACAACCGTTATGTTATAGCGACCAACCAGCTTGCCTGTGATAAGCATACATACAAATTTAATCGTATGTACCATGCTTCGTCGTTTGCTACGCATTCTTCCTTGGAGCCTTCTGACTGCTGTTGCTGTCGTCATCCAGCTAGCTGGCTACCACTTTACACACAGTCTGCTCAACTCCTGTTGTGGTTATTCCTGAATTCAGACTGCTTCATTACTTCTTGCTTCTGTTGTTTCCTTGTTTCATATCCAAAGCTCGACGCCGTCGTCGTTGCTCTGCAATTGGGTTTGTATAATCTTCCATTTTCTATACATGAATATGTATCTTCTTCTTCTGGTTTCTCCACAGCCCCTCTGACGTTCCATGAAGACTGTTGACGGTGGTGCGTTAGTGGTCCATTTGTACGTTTGTACAATCGCACCGTCGCAATCTTCCTTTCATCTGTCATGCTACTTTTATTTGAAAGCTCTAAAATATTAGAGAATTATTTGAGAACCAAGTAGGAAACTGGCTTCATGTGAAGAAATCAGAAATAAATGGTCTGCAGGGTGACTATTTTTGGCACAAAAAACTAGTTTTTATTAATTTACACTTTGTTGCTATCAAAATTCGGTTCAAGTTCTGGTCGAAGGAAAGTCTAAAATTTTATTAAAAATCTAAATGCGTTCATCTTTTGCCGGCCAAAGTCAATCCTCCGAATATTTTTCTTTATGAAAAAGAGTCTCTTAATATACATTCCTTCGTTATTCGTGGATGACTTTCAAGCTGGAAAGCGTATAACCTTGCAATATAGGCAAAGGTAGGAGTTTTTTTCGGTATCAAGAAGTTTCAACCAGCAGCCCTTCGGAGACAGCTTAAACACTTTAAATTTGCTTTAATTTTTTATTAATTTATTTCAATATCTTTTAAAGAAGTCCAGTTAGATTAGAGCAGAGTTAGAACTATCGCTTTTCAATGTGATGTTAACCTAAGAATGGAGGGTCCTGTAGCTTTAAGCTACTTAGAGAGCTCTAATGAGATTTTAAGTAATAGCGCTTTGAATTCCCGCCTGGTTTCATAGAATATTCTTGATACTTTCGGTTCTACACTACTTCAGTGCATTTGTACGTATGTTTATCTACGCACCTATAAATCCCATCTCTTTTTTGCCATCCTACCAGCCTGCTCGTTTTCTAATTCCGAATGAGTTTGGTGTGAGTTTATTATTTCAGTGCCGCCTGCTTGTTGGTTCAGCACTGCTTCTTTCGTACCATCATTCGTGGTAATGGTGGGGGTTGAAACTGACTAACTGCCTATCTGCTTGTCTGCCTGAATGCTACTTACCACCATGGCATCAATTGCTGTGAGATTCTGTGGGCCACAATATCGTTTGCAACCCAATTGTGCTGAACGGGTGGTGAGCAAAACCTTTACTCTTACTCAACATCAACACTGTTTGACAGGCTTCCAGTTTGTCTACCTTTCCGCCCGCAGTACTGGCTGGGTAGCTATCATGGCCGTAGATATGATTCACAAATGCGCCCACACTGCTTTGGGGTGTATTGGCTGTGGGGACTAAAATATATTGATGTGTGTGTTGGTGTAAGTGCATGTGGTCGAATAATTTTTTGTATGTCCCTCGCAGGAAACTATTAGGAGTATATAGAATGGATTGCCGGAAGTAGCATCTATTTAAAGTAATGATCTACATACAAGAACTACCAAAAAGGAATCGGCCTTTCGTGAACAAGCATATAGAGAAGAATGAAATCATCAGATGCCGCCAGGCTGTAAAAGTGTTCCATATTTCTACAACACTATTCACAACTTACTATACATTTCAAGTTGAGGATACATTTCTGTAAAAATGTTCTTGAGCTCTATTAGCAATGCCTAATTAAATGACTATACTATTCATCTCTCTCTCTCTCATCAGCTCACTGGAAATAATTGATTCGCACAATTGGAAAGTTTTATAAACTCCAGTTCAAAACCGTAGACAATGAAATTTAAGTTTTGTGATCCAACCATAAGCATGTAGTAACAATAACTGTATAGCTCAAGAACAATCAACTTTCTCAACTTTCGAATGCCGATACTCTCTCAGAACGGCATTATAAACAAGTCTTTTTTCACTATGAAAGGTAACCTATTAAGATGGCCGGCGATAAGATGGGAAGTATTCATGCCTAGTGATATGTAATCTCGTCAGACCAATATTAAAAAGCTTAGTATTATTAGTATTTCGAGGTATGTTCAGAAATGTCAAAACCCTCGAAAAAAATAAAACTCTATTAGCTCTACATTAGGAATCTATATTAGGAAATACAGCTTACCTTAATAAAATAATAGATTAAACGGCAGGACTTATCTCAAAAAATAATTGACATAAAAACTGGAAAGCGATCAATAGAAAAGATTTCGACCGATCGAAAATCTCAGATTAACCATAGTCTGTTATTATACACTAACTCACACAAAGCTTCAATAACTTCAAATTACTTATCTTAATCCCACTATTGCCTAAATTTTTCCGACAGGGTATATAAGCACTTGCACATATAAATGATATCAACTTCTGTATACCATATACATATATTAGTATATATATTTTGTACATATGTGCTACATCTATGTTATATAACTTGGCTTGCGAATACTAGGTCGAATTGATCGCTGGGTGAGCTTTTAGGTTGCTTGGTTGGTGGGTGGTATGTGATAAAGGGTGTTTGCAGTTGACGTTATAACATTGGTGGCTTATCTTTTCCAAAGTTGTTTTTGTTTTTAATGTTTGCAATGTTGGTAAGGGTAGTAAATGCGTACGAATGTATGCATGTATATTCCATTCCAGTTTGGTCTTTTTATGTAAGCATATACCTAGTTGCCTTTACTATGCAAGAAAGAAGCAGCATGAGATAGACCAAATTTACGAATTGAAAAATATGCCATCTTTATAAGGGTGGTTCATTGCTTTACGAAAACAGTCTCTACTTATTGTTTCAAAAAAAATGTTAAAAGAAATTACGCGGAAACAACTTTTAGTATGAATCTAAATGGTAGGCTTTACATTTATTCTCCATAAAGTTTGCGACAAATTAAACTATTTGGAGACCGGTTGTGGCAGTATTATTCTTTAGTTACTTTGAATATACCTAAATCGATACTATTATGGTATGATAGATAATAAGTTTTACAATTTGTGAAAGAAATTTTGCAGAAATCTTTAATAGATATAATTTAAACTAATTATAGTATAGTTATGTAATACATACATGGTAGCTGTATCAATTTTTCAGAACTTAGAGAGTGGAACATCTCCAGAGAGAGGATAGCCATCAATACATTAACACAACAGACATTAGTGCTTATGCGACTATTATAAGTTTTCCATTCGATCACATATGTTGCATTAAACTGTCTCTCTCTTTATTTGCCTTTGCGAAGAATGACATGTCGCGAGAACGTCTCGTTTATATTATATTTTGTACATGACATATTTTTTAAATATCGCATACCCTAATGTGCAAACACAAAAGCTCCTATACAAGTATGCGTACAACTGATTATTGAGTTTTATGTATATGTAACTGTTCACATAAAGGGTATATATGTGTAGGGTATTTGTGGGGTATTATGTAAAATTGTAGTATAAATGTCGCAAATGTATGTATTATAAATGAAATAAAAGAAGATAAAGGGTGTGTGATGAAAACTTACTTTAAATATAATAATTTTGATATTTATTTGTACGTCGATATGGGTAAGCTTTCGATATGCCTATTTCTCTTTCAAAGTGTCTGTACCAAACGTAACTACTCTTGACTCATAGGTTCTATAAGCTATCGTTAAGCTGAATTCTTGACAATGATGTAGGTATGTCATGATCTTACAAAAACACACTGTCTCTAAAACGCCACCACAAGCGAATTTCATCGACAGAGTGTAAAGCGATCTTTTACCACAATCAGCTAGGAGACAGATTTTGGTTGTCGGCAATCAAGTCTCACTTCCAGATGCCACAACGAGCTGGACAAGAGTACACTTCCCCACTGATTTGCCAATACACTTCAAATAAAAACCTTTGTTGAGTTAGTCTACTATATAAAACTGGCATTCTAATCTGAGAATCTGTAGGTTTAGAACACGGTTTAGGAATTAAAGTCAACACAAAATCTATAACAGTAGTTTAATTATGAGGCACGTGTTCCTGGAAAGAATTCCTTAAATATTTGGTCTCTTACTGAAGGGACGTAAAATATTTAGTTGGATTTTTGAATCGAACCCTACTAATTTAGTGGACCACGCCTCCAACGACACATATAGGGTTGCTGACATAAGGTGTTACTTACAGTTAGAATTTTTAAAAAATCGATTTTTTTTTGTTTCTTAATGTACATATATTTAAGAATACACACATAAAATTTCATGTCGTTCCGGTGAATATTTTCGAAGTTATACGCAAATTTGAAAAGGCATTTCAGAGTTTTTGGAAGTACAAGGCCGGAGCGGCAGCGACTACCTGAACGCTGTTTAAAAGCGTTTTTCTCAGAATGGTGTTTTCAAAGTCGGTGACCAAAATTACTCGAAAACAGCTTAACCGATTAGTCTCAAATTTTAACACGAGCTTTTTAAATATCTTTTTTAGTAATTCATCGAAGATTTTTTCTTTTCGATAAACATTTTTGTTTTTATAAACAATTTAAAGCCGAAATTTCGGTGAAAATTCAATTTTTTTTTTTGGAAACAGCCATTTTGTCAAAAAAATTTATTTTACTTATTCCTTCGACTAGTTACTAAATTTAACATTACTTTAACGAAATCTGTTTGGTTTTTTAATTTCAGTTGATCAGTTTAGAGATATAATGGTCACCTTAAAACATCTTTTTTGAGAGGAGCTACCGGAGATCAGCTGTAGCTCTTTTCCAAATAAATATTTTTACTAAAACTAAATTTTAAAATATAGTTAAAAGACTTCATAATATGTGTATAAATTTTTGCATCAATAATATTAAAAG